TGTGTGTGTGTGTGTGTGTGTGTGTGTGTGTGTGTGTGTGTGTGTGTTCAGGAAGCAGTAGCTAGGTGAGGGCATGGATTCAACAGAAAAAGGCAACAGTGGACAGCAGGAAGACTATTTTTGTATGCAACATAATTTTACTTCTACACAGGCTAAATCTTTAACATTTTCATTACTATTATATGGAAGGAAGAACATTCAAATGTCCTAAATCCAAGCAAAAGGCCGCAACATGAGGGTGATATTGTAAATGAGAGCGAAATGGCATGCCATCATCCTGGACCCTCACAGAAGGAGAGGTCACAGATTTCTCTTGATACCCTGTACCTAAATGAAGCTTCTTGCAAAGGCACACTGGAAATAAGCATGATTCACGGCGGTGTCTCAAGCAAAAGACACTATATACTTCACCTATGGCTGCTGTTGATGTCTGCATTCCACAGAAGTTTTGCCCCTGATAGTGATCTTCATTTCCTTATTCATTTTCTTTGGCGGGCTCACTTTTCTGAATCAGCCACACTTCATTATTTCTATCAAGTAATTGGAAAGGGCTGCTGTAGCCTGCAGTATAAAAGACCTTTTCATTGAAAACTTTTCCTTCTTCCCTCAATATGTTTGCTAATGTCAAAAGTTGTTCTTGATTCTTTTGGCCACTTGAGAATCCATCAAAAGACCTGCAGAGGAGAAAGTGATTGTGCCTGAGTGATTTGACTACAGATATCTATGCTAACCTGAGATGAACAGCAGGGTCTGGGGCCCTGAATGCTGGATGACATGGCTTCCAGGCAGCCATGACCTTCATACCTGGGCTCATGAAGCTCACCAAGGAGGGACAGATTTGGAACTCACATCTTGTGTGGACTAAGATGTACAAAAGTCACCATAGAACCTTATAAACATGTACATTGACGGTGTCTGGGATATGGCCTGAGTACATTACTAGGAACTTCCCAGAAACATACTGATGTGTGATTTAGAGAACCATTCAGAAGCCCCTCCTTCTGTACTCCCAACCCAAGTCCCCTGTCTCCCACTCCTTTCTTTCCCTCCTTTTTTTTTTTCTCTCTTATATACAATTCAGCTTGACCCAAAAGTCACCATGCAGCAAAGAGTCTTGCTATACAGCACAGGCAGCCTTTAGAGGCACTGTGTAGCTGGGGTGAGCCCCAAATAAATGGTCCTCTGAACTCAGACACCCCAGTGCTAGCATTATGGAAGTGTACCATAAAGCCTAACTCCATCATGTTGTGTTTCCTTTGTTCTGTTTATTGTTGCTACATACTTTTGACACAGAGTCTTAGTTGCTAAGTCTGTGCCAGAAATCTTAGGCTTAAGTTAACTTCTGTCTCAGCTTCCCAAGTTCCTGGAACTATAAGAGTGAATTAACAAACACTGAATTAAATGCTTCCCTCTTTTTCCTCTTCTGGGGCAAAGAGTACACAAGGGGTTACAGATGAATGAAATATAGTTTGGGTGTCTAGGCATTCATAGTCCAATGGAGAGATCAATGTTTTGACAGAATCTCCTGAACATCCTGAGAAGTTCTGAACAAAGGCAGGCTCAAAGGGCTCTGAGAATGCTAAGGTTGTGACTCTACGCTAATAGGTATCTTTTGAGTTGGTCTTGAGTGAGGGATGATTTTCCTGAACAAAGAAAGGGAGGGATGAGAAAAACAGAAATGACAAAGTACAAAGCACTGTCTCAGTGAGGTATAAAATGAGGTCCAAAAGGAGAGCTGAAGCCAAAAGCAAGAACTTCATGTTAGCCTATGACTTATAGGATGCTGGGCAGAAAGGAACCAGGATATTATATCAGATGTGGATATGAACATAGGCCAAGACACATGCAGATTAGAGGGATGGAGCTGCTACACGATGGGAAGGGAAAGAGAATAAAAGTTTAATGAAGTGCCTAAATGCAAGTATCCTGAGATGAATTCACCTGCTAATGAATTCATGCTGCTAAAGTACAGGACATGCAACTGCAGTGGTTTCTACTTAGAAGGTTAAGAAACAAAAAAGTATTTTTGATAAGCTTCATTGGTATAAGTTTTATTATAAATGTGCCAATGCAAAAAACAAAACAAACAAACAAACAAAAAACAGTCTGGTTGTGACATTCAAGATCCTTCAAAGAAGAGCAAAGCCCATGTCTAGTCTATTCAACAATGTCTCCTCATCCCCAGAGGCACATTGACAAGGCTGGGGCCTTCACAGACAGTCCCCACTATAGCTATCCCTAGCTTGGAAGACTCTACAGGTAGGTGACTCTAAACATGACTACTTTGCCGGGCCTGGGGCATCCAATGCCATGAGATTCAGGTATGTGATGTATCAGAGGTCTAATTCCTGTCCAGCAAAGCTCTGGAGGTCTCTACCCTCCAGTCCAATGGACCCTGGGGGCAGAGCCTTGATTGAAGAAAGATATCTAAAGTCTTGAGATTTGGATCTTGAGTGAAACCCATTACTTTTTCTTCTCTATTTTCTCATTTGAAAGGGGGCTGTCTCTCCCATGCATGTCACATTGTTGTACTTTGGAAGCCCATAGCTTATTTGACTTTACAAGCCCACAGCTGGAGAGAATTTGCTTCAGGATGAATCATGCCTTGAGTCTCAGCCAGATTTTATTTGGATGATATTTAAATGAGACTTTTGAGTCAATGTTGAAATAGGCTAAGATTCTGACTCTAGTAGAATGGGACTGAATGCATTTGGTATGTGAGAAAGACACAAAGTTTCTGCAGTTAGGGACAGAATGCTATGGACTGAATGTCTGTGTCTCTCCCAAATTCATACTTAACTCCTAATCATAAATCTGAGTTTTAAGATCCTCTGAAGGATGGTTAGGTAATGGAGGTTGAGCCCTCATGAAAGGGATTATCATCCTTACAAAAGAGGGTCAAAGATGCTTCTATGAATCAAGAAATGGTCCCTAGCCAGTCACTAAAACTGTCAGTGCCTTTGAACTTGAACCCAGCTTAAAAAAAAAAAAAAACTACAAAGAGCAAATTTGTTTGTTATAAGCTAGAGTGTGCAGTATTTGTTGTGTCAGCCCGAAAAGACGAGTGCAGACATCATATGCTGTTTTTTGAAGGCATTATTGTTCAGGTCTATTTTGTAGGAAAGGGTGACCCCATGCTCTGGGTGATGTAATTTGTGCTGTTTATTTGTGGAAAATATACAATAGATTTCTCAAAAAAAGAGACTATATCTTGCAATAGACCTCAGTGACATTTTAAAACCAAGACAGTAGGAAAATACTATGAAATATATTAGACTGTTCTTATGGAAGGGTGAAAAACCTGCTAAAATTGCATAGGAGCTAAATGGTGAGTGCACAGAGATAAAACTAGCAGTCAGCAGTGCTTAAATACCACTTACCGCACAAACACAGTCATTTCAGTTCTGTCTTCAATGAAGACATCTGACTCTGAAGGCCTGGGTGGCTCGGATTGCTGCTCAGGCGGGATATAGAGGGAAACCGTAATGGTAGACTCACTGAAAGGACCTGAGCCAGGCTCCACGTAGCTTGTCACCGGAGCGGTCAGCTTTATTTTCATCTCTACATCATGAAAAAATGAAAGCAACTTTTGTGTATTCGTGACTAATACACATTTTTTAATCTACTTTATTTGAATTTCTTGATTTACTTTGCAGTACCAACATAAATATATACCCTTGAAATAATGTCTCATCTTTTAAAAACAAGTGTAGTGGTAGACTGACACTCATTCATAATCCATATTAAACATTTCCTGGAGTGTTGTATTCTGAGATTAATGAGTTATATCTTTTTAAACATAAAAAAGAAATTACTAAAAACACAGGCCAATTGTTTTTCTTTACAACTCACAAATTGAGGTCCTAAGACTAAGAGACCTGCAAACTTAGACACACAGACACACACTTATGACTTGAGGCTTATACTCTTGAATATCTTCCTGTCTCCTTATATCACTAATTATCTGTTACTAATTAATTATTAGAGGCATTTGACACAGGAAAAGACTTCTCCCTAGTTTCAAAGCCCCATTTCAGAAAAAGAAAAGGTGAAAGAATAGAAGTTGGAAAGTAGAGGCTGGCTACACCCGCCTCCAGCTCTTCTAAGGTTCTTGAGGCAAATCGTGTATAAAAACATTAGGGTTTCTGTGATCTGGTTATTCACCTATTGCCAAACAGATTTCTTTAGTAAGCTAAAACTAAGTAACCTCAGGATCTCAGAGGCTGCTTCTACTTTACCCTTCTCATTTTTGCCTTGAAAGTAGCCATTCAGTTTTGTGAAGCCAGTCTGGATGGCTGAATCCCAGTCCATAGTCTCCACGCAGGTGCTGACCCACTTGGCTGGTCCGTAGTGTCGGATCTCATAACTTCCTGGCTAAAATGAACAGAGCGAACTTGGAGAAGCAGCTCCTGAACATCAGGAGTCAAGAGTCAGCAACACAAGTACCCTTGAGCTCTAGTCTACCGGGAGACCGTCTGCGAAGGGGCTGCTGCATCCCGAAGTCCAGCCTGAGGTTCCGGTTCTTCAGGACAAGCTGGCCCCTCCCGAGGATTTCCTATGGGACAAGAGGGGGTGGGGGAGCTGATACTGCCCTAAGGCCAGGTTACAAGGCTAGGTCAGCCTAGAAACCAGTTCCTTCTTCTGTCCCCCACACAGACAGGAGGCGGAGGAATGGCTCTAAACCGGGGCTGTGGGGGTGTGTCAGCCAAACAACACATCACCTGGTTTGTGCCGGATCTAAAACAGTACTTTTTACTTAACTCTACGGAACTCTTCAATCTCACAATAAAGCAGTCTAGATGCGTCCTTGCCGGCCCTGGAAGACGCCTACCTGCGGGTCTGTGTCCTCCGGAGCCTTCCAGCTCGGCATCTCCATGGCCTGCTCCGCTGTGCTCACAGCCACCCCGAGGTCTGGCTCCAGCCCTTCTGCCATGGTCCAGGGCAGCTTGCGAGGGGCGCGCTCTGTCTACATCCACCAGCCACCTTGCTCTGAGTCTCCGCCTCCCTGGCACAGGCAGGCCCCCAAGCCCTTACTGCTGCTCTATAGGACATTCCGGGCCTGAGCCGCTAGGCGGCGTCCGGATCCTGAGGGCACAGTCCCCACCCTGAGCTTTCGCCAGTCCTGGCCCCACCCATCTACTGGGATAGGGAGGGCGATGGGCCAGAATCGGCCAAATGGCCTCTGGGTCACACGACTTCCCTGCAGAGTCCCTCCCTCCCAGCTCTTCGTTTCGCAATGCTGCTCTGTGGGCAGTGATGGGCGGAGGTCAGAACAGCTGCTAGCTCAGGGTTTCTGTGGAACCGGTCCGGGCGCCTCTCCCCAGGCTGCAAATGCTAGCACCTCTGCAAAACCAGTTTCCTCCCTGCCGCAGCAGAGAACTGCCAGTCCCTGGCTTTCGCAGAGGAGCTTAGAGCCTACTGGCAGCACTCGTGACTCTGATCCCTGTTGCAGGTTAGACACTAGAGTCCAAACTGGGATCAGCATACCCAGTTACACCCGGAGGGCAGCCAGGGCCCACAAGCGGTGCTCAGGGTGGCTCAATGCGGAAAGTCGATAGAGACGCAGAGTCGGGGGTGGGGGTGGGGTCGGGTAGGGTGGGTGAACCTAGCGGAAAATAGTAAGACTAGTTGGACACACCCAACTCCTAGAGCCATGCTCTAAGAAACCAGTAACTTGTGCTTATCCTTGTGATTTGATTGGAAACCTAAATAGATAGGTAGGTAGGTAGGTAGGTAGATAGATAGATAGATAGATAGATAGATAGATAGATAGATAGATAAAGCGGAAGGCCTACCAACCATGACCTCTCATCTTGGTGGGTGACTCTATGTTTGGGTCTGTAACTCTCATTTTTTTTAAACATTAACCCCCAAACCCTAGGTAAGAGAGAGAAGGTTAATGGGGAGAGGAGGCCCAGACCCACCCATTCACTTCTCCCAGCTGTTTAGGGTCGGAGGGTCTTTGGGGGCTATCCCAGTCTTCCTCAACAGCAGACAGCAGTCTTTTCCAAGTTGCTGCGCCCCGAAGCATTTCTCGCCATCTGTCTGCTGCAAACCGCCGCACAGTCTGTCTCCGGTCTCTTCAAACTGCTGCCCACCACATGCCGACCCCGCATGCCATGCCCCTCTCCCCGCTGCACACGGAAGGCTCTTACCAGCTGGCAAAAGCCACACCTCACACAAGACATTTAACAGCTGTGGACAAACTATAGTCCAACTAAAATCCCACACTTGGGATTAAAACAAAAACATATTTACATAACATAACTGAGTTTACAAAGAAACCAAAACTTGCATCACAAGGGTCATTTCTAGAAAATGTCAAAGAACCAGGGTGGTGTAAGAGTCTCCCAGATTCACTGAGTCCACACCTAACTCTCAGATACTTCGTGTGGAAGCACAGTACTGTACACTCTGTGTGATTAACTTCCTTCGCTTCAAAAACCTCAGGGTTCACCATGTTGTAGCATCACTCTTTTTATGGTCAAATGAAGCCTTTTATAAAGATTTTGTTTATCAGTGGGAGGCTATCTGGGTTGTTTCAGCTTTGGGCTATTATGCCATCAGCATTTGTGTAGGGAAGGAGAGAGAGAAACAGGGCGGGAGAGAGTAAAAGAGGGAGGGAAAAAGTAGAGAGGGATGAGGAAGAGAGAGAAGGAGAGGGAGAGGGAGAAGGGATGGAACCATTCTGTACAGGTTTTTGTGTGGACATAGGTTTTGCATTTCCCTTATGTAGAATTTCTGGGTTAATTGGTGAGTCTCTTTTGGACTGCCAAACTGTTCTTGAACCATTTGACATTCTTACTAGCATAGTGCTCATCTGCCTACATCCTCGACAGGTACCTGGCTTTGAAAATCCTAAGTATTTTGTGAGTTTACAATTTGCTTTGTAGATGTGATTTTTTAAGATTAATTAATTAATTTACTTTGCATCCCAGGAGGACCTTTCCTTCCCTCCTCTCATTCCAGACCCTTCCTTTCTCCTCCTTTCCCCCCTTGCTCCCTCCCTTTCCTCTCAGACTCTCTCAGTGGGTATCAACTCACCTTTCCATATCAACTAGGACTGAGTACATCTTCTATTGAGGCTGAACAAGGCTGTCCAGAGGACATCCATTTGCCTGCGAATTTCATGATTTCCTTGTTTTTGATAGCTGAGTAGTATTCCATTGTGTAAATGTACCACATTTTCTTTACCCGTTCTTTAGTTGAGGGACATCTAGGTTGTTTCTAGTTTCTGGCTATTGTGAATAAAGCAGCTATGAACATAGTTGAGCAAATGTCCTTGTGGTGTGGTAGAGCATCTTTTGGGTATATTCCCAGGAGTTATAGCTGGGTCTTGAGGGAGAACTATTCCCACTTTTCTGAGAAACTGCCAGACCAATTTCCAAAGTGGTTGTACAAGTTTACACTCTCACCAGCAATTGAGGAGGGTTCCCCTTGCTCCATATCCTCTCCAGTATGTATTGTCACTTGAGTTTTTTATTTTAGCCATTCTGACAGGTGTAAGATGAAATCTCAGAGTCATTTTGATTTGTATTTCCCTGATGACTAAGGATATTGAACATTTCTTTAAGTGTTTTTTGACCATTAGAGATTTCTCTGTTGAGAATTCTCTGTCTAACTCTGTACCTCATTTTTGATTGGGTTATTTGGTATGTTGGTGTTTAATTTCTTGAATTATTTATATATTTTGGACATTGGCCCTCTGTCAGATATAGGGTTGGTGAAGATCTTTTCTCATTCTGCAGGCTGCTGTTTTGTTCTATTGTCACTGTCCTTTGCTTTACAGAAGCTTTTCAGTTTCATGAGGTTCCATTTATTAATTGTTGATCTTAGAACCTGAGCTGTCAGTATTCTGTTCAGGAAGTTCTTTACTGTACCAATGAATTCAAGGCTCTTCCCCACTTTCTATTCTAATAGATTTAGTGTTTCTGGTAATTTGTTGATGTAAAGACCGCATGTTTACGGCTAACTCACAATTGTTCCATAGCCCATAGAGGTGGAACCTAACCTGTGCCCAGGTCACCTTAAAAGCATTGAATGACAGTGGAGTGACACAAATCTATTTAAATTGTGAATGACAATGAACAATTAGTCTAACTTTAATATTTTTAATTTGATTACCCATAAATAATATCGCCTTCTCTAAAACATTTGCCCTTTTCTTTAGATTTTTATCAGTTTTTTGAGTCATTAGGGCCAAGTACACATTTTTTGAAAGCTGATTAGCATGTTCTACAGTATTAACCTGTTGAACTAGTGCTGTGACATTGGCCATGACTGAGCAATCCAAACTTCCAATTAAGGCAGTAGTTTTTAGTATAAGGGCAGCAACAAATCTTTTGGGTCTGGTAACAGCATTGGTAATGGTATCCAGTGCATAAATGCCAGGGTTATGAAATCAAGGCTGGCTCAGATTTACAGGCAATAAAACATAAGAAGGTTGATTTACTAAAAGTTCTTCATTTCAGGAGGAATTAACACAATTGGTCACCACACAAGTGGAACAATTTAAAGTAAAATTTATAGGTAGTAAGATTTATAGATAGTTGAAGCATTTTTAAATTTATCTATTTATCAAAATCATATATTAATAAAGACATTATAATAAAATACCTGATAAACTTTAAAATGTCACATATGCTTATGTACTTAAACATTTTCAAAAGCTTTTTAAAAAATATACGGTTTAAAACTTTTTAAACTCCAAAACTTTTTAAAAAGAAGTTTAAAATCTCTCAATTGTATTTTTGCAATATCAAAACACAGCACCTTCTTAAAGAGTGGACTCATAGAGCATAGCCGTAATCTGTAGAGGACAAAACCAAATTTCAACAGTTTAAACAATTTCAGTAATTCAGTGTCTCTAAAATCAACACAAAGTACATTATTTTGAAGTTATAAAGTTTGGCTGCCAGCAAGAAAAGTTCATGTGTATTAATTAACACGTGGAGGTGCAGCTCTGATACCTCATTAATGAAATATAATTTTAAATCCTGTGGGTTTTTAAAAACCTGGTTTTAAAGACAGGACAGAAATTATATAAAATCTCATCCTAATTTAAAAGTATCTTTGGAGACCTGTTTCTTTGCTCATGCCATTTGTTGCTGCCCAGAATGGCTCCAACCTTAAGGTACAAGTTTAAGATAATTTTTTGTAACAGATATTGCAGATTTTAAATCATATACACTGATTTATAAATATATAATCTATAACCAAGATATACAAAACCTAATAAATCCATGTTTAAGACCAGTCGGAAACAAACATCTAGTGGCCGTATACATTTACATGTTTAAAATAGGCACAACTTTTTTTTAAAAAACTTTTTTCTAGGTGTTGTTTTAAGAGAGGAGTACCTTGCTATGAACTGAATTCAATTCTCATGGCCACAGAGGCTTTGTAGCAAGTCTAGCCAACAGCTTCCTTACTAGAGAAGCTGAGAAGTGGCTGGTACCCCTTTAAGAGCAGCTTGTATAGATCAGGCATTCTGGGGCTTGCTGCCAGCTTGATCCAGGCAGGAGGCAGGGCTTTTCCAGCTGCATCAGTTTATCAATTTTTGTTGTCCCAATTTAGCTGCTTTTTCTTTTTTTTTAATTTTTTATTCTTTATTAATTACACTTTATTCACTTTGTATCCCACCTGTGGTTCCCTCCCTCCTCCTGTCCCAATCCCTCCCTTCCTCCATCCTCTACATGCATGCCTCTCCCCAAGTCCACTGAGAGGGGAGGTCTTCTTTTCCTTCCTTCTGATCCTAGTCAATTAGGTCTCATCAGGAGTGGCTGCATTGTCTTCCTCTGTGGCCTGGTAATGCTGCTTCCCCCTCACAAATTGTGGTACATCTACACAATGGAATATTACTCAGCAATAAAAAAACAAGGAAATCATGAAATTTGCAGGTAAATGGTGGGATCTGGAAAAGATCATCCTGAGTGAGCTATCCCAGAAACAGAAAGACACACATGGTATATACTCACTCATATAGACATATAATATAGGATAAACCTACTAAAATCTATACACCTAAAGAAACTAATCAAGAGGGAGGACTCTTGCTAAAATGTTCAATTCCTATCCAGAAAGGCCAAGAGG